AAGACTAGCCAACAAATCCACACATTTTACAGCCAGATGTGTGCGCCGTGGAGTAATACTTAGTAAGGCAACATCCCCTCGTGTACGCCCAAGCACCGTAGGCAACAATAACCATAATGTTCGACGGCCATGCACAAACCACGAAAAAAGTCATGTTCGCCTGCATCCGATGACCAGAGCATCCATGCACAAACCATATTCATGTTGGACTGCGTCCGATGACCAGAGCATCCACGCCCAAACCATAACAACGTTCAGTTTCGTCTGTATCCAATGCTCAGAGCATCCACGCCCAAACCATAATGACGTTCATGTTCGTCTGCGTCCGATGACCGGAGCATCCATGCCCAAACCATAATAATGTTCATGTTCGACTGCATCGCATGACCAGAGCATCCGTGCCCAAACCATAATAACGCTCATGTTTGATTGTGTCCGATGACCAGAGCATCCATGCACAAACCATATTCATGTTGGACTGCGTCCGATGACCAGAGCATCCACGCCCAAACCATAACAACGTTCAGTTTCGTCTGCATCCAATGCTCAGAGCATCCACGCCCAAACCATAATGAGTTTATGTTCGTCTGCGTCCGATGACCAGAGCATCCATGCCCAAACCATAATAACGTTCATGTTGGACTGCATCCGATGACCAGAGCATCCACGCCCAAACCATAATAATGTTCATGTTCGCCTGCGTCCGATGATCAGAGCATCCATCCCCAAAACGTTCATGTTCGACTGTATCTAATGATCAGAGCATCTACGCCCAAACCATAATAACGTTCATGTTCATGTGCGTCCGATGACCGCAGCATCCATGTCCAAACCAGAATAACGTTCATGTTGGACTGCATCCCGTGAGACGTATTAGCAAGTTGAAGATTTGCTGCTGCGCCTTCTTGTTCCTCAGTTACCCTGTTTAGTCTCGCCGAGCGTACAGTGTGAGGACATTGATGTGCTGCCCAGTACCCGTTTTCATGTGTATGTAAAAAGCTATTTGGGCAGTGCCGCAAAATATCTTCTCCTTGAATGCAAAATCAATGGCCCTGTCAGTGTTTCATGTACTTCGTCCTACTACACGCATTTGGTTTCGCACATAATTCACAACCCACAGGCCAAAAACACTGAGATGGTTGTCGATTTCGCAAGGCCAGAAAAGACAAATGTAGAAAACTCCCTACAGCCATATACGCGCACGCGTCGTGTAGTGGCAGTAGTAGTAGTAGTAGTAGTAGTAGTAGTAGTAACAGCAGCAGCAGCAGCAGCAATAGTAGTAGTAGTAGTAGTAGTAGTGGTAGTAGTAGTAGTAGTGGTAGTGGTAGTGGTAGTGGTAGTAGTAGTAGTAGAAGAAGTAGATGTAGATGTAGAAGAAGTAGTAGTAGTCGTAGTTGTAGTTGTAGGAGTAGGTACCCGGCGCGGAAAAAGCCTTCAAGAAGTGATATGATGATATGATACAACGGCATCATAAGTTTTCCCCACTGCGCGCCTGCCAACGATCATGAAGTGACAGTATGGCCCAAATAGAAACAACAATTCCAGGAGAATAATGAGAATACAATCACAATCATGCTGCTGAAACGTGAAAGGACACACAACAGCACAGCAATGATAATTTAGCGTGATGATGACCGCAACAGCAGCCTCTTGTTCGTCGCGCGGCAGCTACAATTGTTTGGGGTGTGGGTGCTTGTCATTGAGCATGCTTGCCATGCTAGTATTTCAAAGTTTCCATGCACGTTCAGGTTTGATTTACATCTGAAAAAATGTTTGCAACGAAATCTTGCGTTGCCTCGTTTTCGGACACCGCGAAGGTGTCCAATAACGAGGGGATATAAGATTTCACCGGTTCTCAAATTCACTGCGCTTGCCATCACTTTCAATGCCTCAAGCACGTGCCGGCAGTGCAGCGGCCAAATGCTCCACTTTCAGCAGCGCATTTGAGGGCATGCTCGATTCTCAGCGCATTCCACGCACGCCCGAATTTCAGCGCATTCC